AATTTTGCTTTCAAGTGAAACAATATTTATCTCATGAACTCATTTGCTAAGTTCACTCAAAGAGCCAAACTGTTGAGAGTTGGCAGCCATCGTGGAAATTAATTCTCTCATAACAATTGGAATCATGTTGACGAGAGCTCCTCTACTAGCTGCATCAACCATCTTCTTTTCTAACAGAAGCAACATTTCATAGAAGTATTGGAGGAGCGTTTGTTCGGAATATGTCGTGTTTCATACAACTTCCGTAGAGCTTTCTAAATTGCTCCCAGTAATCGTAAAGTGACTCTCCATCTTTTTGTCTGATTCCCAATATGCTCCTTCTCAATTCTCTTGCCTTTGCTACTGGGAAAAAACTGTCAAGAAAAATACGAGTTAAGTCAGCTCAGGTATTAATGGAGTTAGGTGGTAAATAAAATAATCATTCCTTAGCCGGATTGGCTAAGGAAAAACTCTAAGTTTGATATGGTATTCGGATACTCCTTGGGGTTTCATGCTTGAGTAAACCATGTGAAATTCTATTAGATGCTTGTGTGGATTTTCATGGGAAGATCCTTGAAGGTATGAATAAGGTGGATAAGCCTCATTTTAAGTTGAAACGGAGTTTTACCGTAAGGAAAGGCAATGTACAACTATTTTTGTACTGTAGGAGCTGCGGCCAACTCCCTGATTGTTCGATCACCCATCAGTTTTGCTTCCTCTAGCATGATATTTGTATCAACGTTATGTGTCGGTTCTTCGTAGGTGTAATGTGTATCAGTGTCAGAGGTTGCAACAAGTACTGGATCTGAGTGTCGTTCTTGTTGTTCTTATTGTTGTTTCTTTTATCGAAGCATTTATCCATGAATTCTACGAGATCGTGCTTCGATATCTGGGTCAAAGTCTACAAAATCTCCTAGGTTTCTCCTAGTCATAATTCAAAAACAAAATTCAAATTAGTAATTTGTCAAAGTCCCTAGCAACGACCCTAATTTGAAAAGCATTGTGAATTATCAAATAAATTCCTTTTTTCTTCAAAATAAATAAAATAGGAATGACCGTAGTATAGAGAAGAAAATGGTCGATCCTTCGAGACTTAGAAATTCATGATGTTTGAGTTGCGTTAATTCTGAACCAGGTAAACTGTAATAAAAGAAAAATATACAAATGAGGTTTGGTGGAATAAGAATTAAATTAAATTAAATTAATTGAACAAAAATAATAAAAATGAAAATAAAAGATTCGAAAACAATTATGGACAAAATAGCCTCAAGCTTCTCTTTGACTCAATTCACTTTGATCATAGAAATGGATTTTACTTCGAGATTCATGTCGGTTACAGTCTACAAGGCACAACCTTTGTAACTTAATTTTCTCTTTGATAAACCGATCTTCCCAAGTCAACCTCCGAAATTTGGTCCCTGAATAGACTAACTACGACTATAATTGCTAAAACAAATTAGATTAAGTTTTAGAAAAGTCCGACTTTGATTATGTTATCTCAATGAGAATCGAATCCGATCTCAATTTCCCTTAATAGACTGCCGCTAAGTTTGTTCATAGGAAGTCAAATGTGTTACAATTCGGTCCTTCCTCCCAACTTTAAATCATAACAACATCCAAATCAACATTTACTTTTTTAAATGAAAGTGTTTTGATTTTTAAAGGAAAGGCCGATTACTAATCCAAATTTATAGAAAACTAAGAATGTAATCTGAAGATGTTAAGTGCTTTTCAATTCTCACAAATGGAATTGAGTCATCACTAGCTCTTGGCTAAATGAGAAAATTAGCTAAGCATGATAGAAATCATACTTAGCATATTTTATGAAAATATTAAAAGCTTAAGTAAAACAAAGATGAAAGAGAAAAGGAAAACTTTTATAAAAATAAAAACAAAATAAAAAAAGTAAAATCTAATAGATTCAAGCTATACCCTAGCAGGGTATTTATAGCTTTCCAAATCTCTAAAGATAGCATAGAAATATTGAAAGATAAATCCAAGTGTTTTGAATTCAAATTTAAAACAATAATTCATAAAAGATCTCCTCGGATAGTGCAGACCAGGGTTTCAAATAGCGGTATCGCGGTCGCGGCAGTGTCCGAAACCGCTATCGCAGAAAATAACGGTGTGAAGTGGGATCACACCAATAGTGTGGATCGCGACCGCAATTCGGATCGCAGCCAATCGCGGCAATAGCGGACCACTATTCCGCTATTATTATGTTATTTAAAAAATTTTAAAAAATGTTTTATATTAAAAAATCAGTTCCTTCGAAAAAAATTCATGATCGCGATATCTGCAATGACCGCAATAGCATCCGTTATATCCGCAACCGTGATAAACGCGACGCAACCGAAAACGTGACCGCGAATGCTATTTAAAACCCATGGTGCAGACTATATTACTTGCAGAATCTTCCGACATGGACTGGACATTCTGGAAACTGTCATGTCAGACCGCGTCATGCCAGTGTCGTGCCCATGTCTCCAACCGTGATCAAATAATAAAAAATGCAGATTGTGCCCTTCTTACTGCTAGTTCTGGAAAATAAATCTCTGCATGAAAATAAGCAAAACAGAACTAAACCAGTAGTAATAAATTGCTAACATGGGAGAATTATCAAGCAAATAATGTCAGTTATAACACTCATCGGGTCCATTTTTAGATAATTTGATAGGTGTTTAATTTCCATTTTTTACTTCAATGTCGACTGCATGTGCCAGTTTCTTTATACATAGGGCAAACAAATATGGAGAAATGGAGTCACCTTGCCTGATGCCTCTTGTAGGTTTAAAGGGCTCGGTTGAGGAGTCGTTCCAAAGGATTTGGGTCGTAGGAGTTTTGACACAATTCATGATAACTTCCTTCAAAAATGATAGAAAAGCCACAAACATTGAGGGTATCTTCAATGAACTGCCATTCAAGGTGATGATACTCCTTCTTGAAGTTGATCTTTATGATCATCCAGACTTTCTTACCTTTCTATCGCCGCATTGAATTGATCGTTTCTTGCATTAAGATTATGTTACCAGTTATAGGCCTTCCGGGAATGAAACTAGTCTGGTTGCTTTCAATGAGGTTAGGTAAGATAGGCTTCATACGGTTAACGATAACCTACGTAAGGATTGTGTATATAACCTGACACAAACTTATCGGCCAGAATTGGGAGATGAGCGAGGGTGTGTCGACTTTTTGAATTAGGACAATCAACGTCTTATTTAATCATCCATTGTTGCCTCCCCTATCATATTTCTCTTGATTAAATTGCACACACTATTCCCCACAAGGTCCCAGTATTTCTGGTAGAATAACGGGTGAACCCCATCAACTCCTAGGGCTTTCAAAGGGCTCATACCAAAGACAGCCGCTCGGATTTCCTCATCCTTAATCGTAGCTTTGAGGCTATCCAGTTGGTCGGGATTTATCTTGGGGAAGTGGCCTTTGACTTTATACCCTATCTTCTCTATGTTGGAAGTCGTGTATAGTTCTTTATAGTAATTCGTAGCATGGTTTATAAGGTCTTGCTCATTCGTACAAATCCCACCCGAAGGAAGGTTGAGGGTCGACATGGTATTTCCTCTTTCCTTGAAGTTTGCACATCTATGGAAATAATTTGTATTCCTATCTCCATAATTAATCCACTTGCTTCTAGCTAGTTAATACCATAGAACTTTTTGTCTAAGGATATCGTCCAGTGTGGATTTCAATTCCACTTCAAGGTTAGAGTAGTAAATTTGGACGGATTTATCAATTCCCTTGAGCCTCGCCAGAATCCTAATTTTCTTAGCTTTTATTGGACCAAAAACTTATTGGTTCCAAACTAACATCTTTTTTTAAAATTTTCAAGATTGTTAATTAATTCCCCGTTCTTGTTCCAAGAATTGGCAAGGAACTCCGTAAAATTGGGATGGTCCAACCAAGCCACAAGCATACGAATGGTCTTTCTCTTTTGGCTCGATCCCCTTAACTTTGAAGTACGATGGAACAGTGGTCTGAACCCACTCGGTCAAGGTGAATTAGTCTCGTGTTCGGATAGGTGCTACTCCAATTTGCATTTATTAACCCCCAATCAAGTTCCTTCCAGAGATTGCCGCGTCTCCAAGTGAAATCTAGACCCTGGTGGTTAATATCATTGAGGCCGTTATTGAAAAATAAAGTGATTAAAGTGTTTACTGCCACCACTGTTAGTGCTTTTACCACCATGCTTTTCATTCGCTCTAAGAGTATAGTTAAAGTTACCTCCCAGCACCCAAGCCACATTGTCTACCGGATTGAGTCTAGAAAGTAAGGGCCAAATTTGGTTCATGATCGTAATACAGGCGCTCCCATAAACGGTTGTAAGGTAGTATCATCCGCTACTATTCTTTAATTTAAACCTGTTGTGACAGAACTGATTTGAAACTTGGAGAATTACTGAATCCTAGGGACGCCACCACTTTAAGGAGATGATAAGGTATCATAGATTGCACATCGTGCATTGGTGAAAACGAGAACTAGCGGTTCCGGGGCTGATAAAGTGGTGGCGACCCTAGGATTCAATAACTCCTTCCATATCGACGCTGAGGGTTAAGGATTTGGATGCTATGGGACAACACGGTGCATTTGTTGAGATAACGGTCTTTGTAGTTTCATCACTTTCTCGGGAATGTGTCGTTGAGATAACGGTCTTTGTAGTTTCACCACTTTAAACCTAACCTCGTTTCGCCCCGAAATTATATACCCGAAATTATATACTATATAAGTTGTGCTCATATGTTGACGTTGTTAGGACATGCAAACTAATTTTGGATTTGGATCAAAAAATTTACAACTTGATTTCAATTTCAAGACATACACTTATGTTAATCTTTTAACATTTTCACTTGCAGGTTTCAAATTATTTTATAAATCTAATATTGTCAGAAATTATATCATATAAACTATCTTTTCCGACTTAATTTACAAGTCTATTAGGAAGACTAGACAAGGCATGCATGAAAAAGAAAAGAAAAAAACACTCGCTCATTATTGAAAAAATGATACAGAACACAAAGTTCTTAATTTCATTTCTTTGCCCAAATTTAACATTACAACAAATCAGGAAGATGTTAAAAAAATCATATATAAAACAAAAGAAGGAAAACCACCCCCTAATTGAATTAACCAGAAAAATTCATCAATACACTCTGAAATATTACACAACACCAACACCACTGATAACTTTGAGAAAGCCATGCAAGCATGCATGGTTGGATGAGGAAACCTTGATTTGCCCATTCTTAAAACCACAATGCATCAGCTTTCAGACATTCACGGGGTCTGCACATTCGATTCTTTCGACTTGTTCTCCTCGAACGATGGCCGGTTCTCTGAGTCTGATTGCCGGACTTCTTCGATCATTCTTACAACTTCATCCATGTTTGGTCGCATGTCTGGTACCTTCGACACGCATGCCATCCCTATTTGTAACATCTGCACCATTTCTTCTTCGATGTTTTGGAACCTCATCAACTCGACATCAAACACCTCGGCTGTCCATTCCTCCCTCACCACAGATTGTACCCACCTTGGAAGATCAACCATGTCATCCCTTCTAGGTGATTGCAGTGGTGCTTTCCCTGTTAGCATCTCTAGGAGCAAGACACCAAAGCTGTATACATCTGATTTATGTGAATGCTTACGGGTTTCGATCACCTCAGGAGCACGATACCCCACTGTCCGGGATGGGGTTGCAGGGACATTCATAAGAGGGGTCAAACCCAAATCGGAGATGCACCCCTCATGATCTTGATTGACGAGAACATTTGAGGACTTGATATTTCCATGTGTAAACTTTGGACCACCCATAGAATGGATGTGGAAAATTCCTCTGGCAACTGCAAGGGAGATTTTTACTCTGGATTCCCAGTCTAATGAGCTTCTTCCACCTCCCCTGTCTCCTGTTATCAAAATGCCTGAATTAATTGCATGCATCTTCTTAACAAGCTTAATTGAAGGACAGAAAGAAAAGAAAATATGTACCATGCAAAAGTGTAGATAAGCTACCGCCTGGTATATAGTCATAAACTAAGAGCTTCTCATCCTTGGAGTAATAATAAGCACGGAGCGGGACGACATTCGGGTGCTGCCCAACCCTTCCTATAATCTCCATTTGCTGCTCAAAATCCTTCTTCCCCACAACCACTTCCTTCAACCGTTTGACTACAACAGTTGTCGATTCCTCCAGAACAGCCTTGTATGCTGTTCCATAACTACCCTTTCCCAGAACTTCAGCTGAAGCCCTTAATAAATCCTCAAGGTCAAAATTATAAGAACATCCTTCAAAGAAAGCTAGCTTGTTTTTCTCGGGTTCTTGCACCCCGCTCCCGAACTCCTCTTTTGGCTTCTCACTCCTGACACCACCAGATGTCTTCCCCTTTAATACACCACTTCCATCATTATCTTTTTTCTTCAGACAGCAGCATAAGATGATTAAGACTAAAAGAATTAGTACTACAGACCCTCCAACTGCAATGGCAATAATAACTCCCAAGCTCAGTTTCCTTTTGGAGCCTTGTTTGTGAGGAAGCATTGGTGGGGGTGTAGAATGAGCAGGAGAAGGTGATGAGATGGAGAGCAGGCTTGTAGAGGAGGACCACATAATAGTGAGTTCCCTACAAAAGATGAATTAGGAAATCTTTGAAGCGATGATGGGATCGAACCACTGAGCTGGTTATAGCTTAAATTCAAAAGCTTGAGCCTAGTGAGATTAAGATTAGGTATAGATCCAGAGAGATTGTTGTTCTCAAAGTTCAATCGAGTGAGCATTGTTAGGTTTCGTATTGTTTCTGGAATGTCACCTGTAAAAGAATTGAATGAAAGATCCAACACATTGAGTTGGCGGGAAAAGGAAGCAAGAAGATCACCGGTGAAGTTATTATGTTGTAGGTAGAGGTATTGGAGTGATGGAAGAGTGGTGATATCTGAAGGAAGATCACCATTAAAACGATTAGATCTAAGGCTGAGAGTCCTGAGGGAACCTAATTTACCGAGAGTGTTGGACGGGATATGGCCCATAAATCCAACCCCGGGGAGCCTGAGGGCGGACACACTAGAATTATCCTGTGAGCAAGTAACGCCAAACCAGGACGAGCATATTGGACTAGTTGAGCTCCAGTTTAGATTTCGACGGTGGGGGACAGCAGCAAGAAAGTCAAGGAGGGCTTGCTTATCGGAGTTGAGATCAGCGGTTATTAGAGGAAGAAAAATAGTTATGACGACAAGGGAAGAAAACACCAAACTCATGCAGAACTCCATTGATTGTTGTTTGGTACAGTGAATATGACAATGATTATGGTTATGAAAATGCAATATCAGTGGTCCCAACTAATTTCCTGTTCCAAAGAAAAGACCAGCAAACACGTCAGGGAGCTGTATGATGAACTCAAATCAATGTTTATGGAAAAGAATGCAATGCTACACCATTCGGTTGCAAGAATGAAAACTGCAAAACACGAGGAAAACACAAGCACAGAAACAATCTGAGGTAACCGGAGCAAAGCAAAATAAAGAGCTAAGACTACATCAGATGACCAATTAGTTATCTGGCAGAAATCAAAACATCCCGAAGATCACTAAAATTCATGCTCAGCAGCAGTTGCTAAAATTTAAAGTAGCCATGTAACTATCTTTTATACTTTTCAAATGAGGGGGAAACACATCCAATAAAATGTACAATGACATTTTCTTCTATATCCATTTTGGAATGAGTAAAAAGTACTCAGTAAGATGTACTTAGGTGCTATGCTCTTCGAGGACCAGTAGATCTAAAACCCTAACTAGCTTCTGAAACAAGGGGAAACATATTCAATAGAAAGTAGGAAGCATAATAATAAGGAATGGGAACTAGCAAACATATAATGCAATCACAGAAAAGCAAGGAAAAAAACATCCAAAGCATTCCACAGCAAAATGGCATCTAATGATGTCTTTTAATAATATAAGTCATATCATTTTCTTTGTAATTTGTGAATAAATTTATATCCATTTTGGAATGAGTAAAAAGTACTCAGTAAGAATGTACTTAGATGCTATGCTCTTCGAGGACCAGTAGATCTAAAACCCTAACTAGCTTCTGAAACAAGGGGAAACATATTCAATAAGAAGTGTAGGAAGCATAATAATAAGGAATGGGAACTAGCAAACATATAATGCAATCACAGAAAAGCAAGGAAAAACACATCCAAAAAGCATTCCACAAGCAAAATGGCATTCTAATGATGTCTTTTAATAATATAAGTCATATCATTTTCTTTGTAATTTTGTGAATAAATTTTTTTTTCTACTAAAAGGCCTGGAAGGGATGTAAAAATATTAAAAGAAGAAAAAAAATCAAAGCTAAAGTGAAAAGGGGTTTCAGAAACAGCAAAGGAACAACATAAGTGCTTTTCCATTAACGAGCTGCAAGAGAATAATATACTTAGGAAAAAGAAAAGCTAGACCCTTTCAGCACTAGAAATAAAAGAGCAATTTTACAGATAAATTGTGATAACTAAGACAGCAAGTTCATAAGATTTCAAAGCTTTTCTACTTAAAATAACAGGGTCTTTTCTTCTCCTCTTTCCTTTTAAGAAAAGGGGAAATTCAAAATTTTAGAGAGGTTGTTAAAGAGGGTGGAGTAGTTAAACCACCCAAGCTTGCCTTGTGCAAAAAAAGTAGGGAATATTCAAAATCCAAAGCCACATTGGAGCAGAAACAACCCCCCAAAAAAGTTATTTTTTTAACGAAAAATTAAAACTTGGAGAGCATAGAAGAAACCCACAAATTGTTGAACTACCAGTCACTAAAGAAGTTTGAGCTGATGTAAAAGAACTAGAACATTCACGGGACTACACAGATCTACAAGCTTGTTTCTGAGATGGGGGAAAGCAATAATGAAAATAAAAATGTGAATAACAGAAGAAGAGAGAGAAGAATGAAACCTGGGGAAACAGCATCCAAATCCAGATGAGCACATAAGGAGCAACCTGGAGTTTGGTGAAGGTGAGTTCAGGGTTGAAAGGAAATAGCAGCAGCAGCCAGCAGCATTTGCATTTGAAAAAGGAACCAAAAATATGATTTGAGCTTCAGATCCGAAATTTGGTGAAACTGAAATGTGCAAGAAGCAGCAAACTCCAACTCAAAAGTGAAACTGACATGCACTCAACCAGCAGCTGCGTCTGTTACAAATGCAGTCAGAACTCATTGAAACAGGAGACTGCATTGTTTAAGAGTTAAAAGAATAAAATAAAATAAAAAAGTGAAAATACAATATTTGTACAAATGGAATACAAGTGGTTTTGGATCTGGAGGAAAATATAGGCTGAACTGAAAGTTAAAAAGTAAAAACAACCAACCTTATTTGGTAATTAGTACTTTGGAAGAGAGATGGGTACTAAGCTTCAAGCTTGTTCCTTGTTCCTACACAATTGTCTACTTTTTTTTAATATTACTAAAACCTAATTCGAATTTGATTTAACTCCTTCACTCTTTCCAAGTGAAACCCAATGATCATAATTCATAAATCAATATTCACTTAATTTCTCTCCAACAATTGTCTACTTTTTTTTAATAATACTAAAACCTAATTCGAATTTGATTTAACTCAAATTAATTAATAAATTTGATTGAAAGTAATTTTATTTTATAATGATTGACGGTATAAAACATACTTCTTTCATTTCACTAAATGTATTTGTTTTAGTTTTTAAAATTATCTCATTTAAAATGTTCTATAGTCAACAAATAATAATATTTATATTTACTTTTTTATATTTGTATGTCTCACTCTTTTATGCATATCAAAATAAAGTAGTTAAATCTATCAATCACTCTCATAAATAATTTTATTATTTATGTTGATCAAATATATCTATTAAAATTATGTATATGAGACGAAAAATATTTAACATATATATTTTACTATACAAATTTCATTTTTTATTATTAATTGAAATGAAACACCAATCATTTATTAAAATAACCCAAAAAAGCAAAATGTCTTGGTTCCGGTGAAAGCAAAACACCAATAACTAAAGTATACTAAGAACAAAGAAAATAAAACCCACATATAAATAAATATTATAGATTAAGGTTATAAGTAAAGTTATTTACGAGAATTAATCTTATATTATTTAGTGAATATTGTCTTCTTTGATCCATAAATTTTTACGTAAAATTTTAATATCTATTTTATCATACGATTATTATTAATATTATTATCTTTTAACAAGAATTCTTATTTTTCTTTTTTATTCTAATTTTTATAACTAGATGAAACATTAATCAATATGGTCTCATTCTTTTACCAAACAACGTTAATCAATGTCACCATATACATCTTAATTTGTGGGCGTTCATGTCTCCACAAGTAATTGACATAAATCTATGATGTAGTAAAACGGTGTAACAACACAAGATATAAACAATCATTAATTAAAGTCGTATGATATTCAAGTAAAATATTCTCAACGGTGATGATTTTACAGTTAAAATTTAATTCAAATGTGTGACGTTATTCTGAAACTATAAAATGAACAAAAATAATTGTGGTTATAAACAAGTCTATATTAATATCTTGTCCCATGGGTAGAAAAGGTGCAACCCTAATCACATGTTAAGAGAAATAAAATTAGACCTACTTTTCTGGTAGTTGATATAAAACTATATTACACCTTGCTGTTCTAGTATTATATATCTTCCAAAATGCTAACCATCCAGTCCAGACTATATATGAAGCCAACAGATGCAAATGACACAAATCTTATTAATTATTCAACCCTTCCATATATGCAACATTCTCTTACTAATACTATATTGTACACTTAATTGTTTTTTATCCACCATACCATAGACTAGGGATTATTAAATTACATTTCAACCTGTCAGTAATAGCTGTTCTGGTCACACTTGCCGGATTTGAAGGTGAATATGGTAAAAGATCATATGGATACATGTGATGATGAGTTTTCTTTCAACTTTAAAGGTGTTATTATTATACTATGGGACAAAAGGAAAATGGTACTATTATTATAGGTATAATATCATAATTAACCACCCAACGTTTATTAGAATTGTCATTTTAGACTCTATTTTTTTAGTATTTTGGCTTCCCAACATTTCACTTTATGACAAAAAGATCTCTATCATCCAAATACAAAGCAAAATATGGAGGCCCATTTACAAGAACTTGAAGGCCCAACAGAACCGATCCAGGCCCAAACAATCCAGCAGGCCCGAGAAGGCCCAAACACGTTTAGGGTTTTCTACTCAAAGTTCCAGCCGTCAGCAATCACCACCGTTCGATCAAAAGGGAGATGAACAACCCAAATGAAGCTTCTAGAAACCCTATGGTTTCATTACACCCCAGGGCTATTTCGGCCATCGCCTCCAGGTGCTCCAATCCGACGTTGCCACGCCACCACCGCCTCACCAGAATACTCCAGATGAAACAAGGATGACCACACATCTCACAACCCTAGGGTGAGTCACCACCGTAACTCTGGTGACTAACCGGGATTCACTCTATTAACCGGTCCAAAGGGCGCACCATGGAGGCCTATAAAAGGTCATTCACCGATCCTGCAAGAGAGGACACATACACACAACAACGAGAGATGAACGAAACAGAGAGAAGCAATGGGAACAAAATAATGTGAGAAGCAACCAACCAACAGAGAGCAAACCCACCACCAATAAACAGAAAATCGAAAGGAAAAGATGGGAGAGAAGGCTTACCGCAGTCGTCGAGCCTCCACGCGCCATCGGAGAACCAAAATGTCGAAGGTATAAACCTAGATCTACTAAGTTTGATGGATTTTTAAGAGAAGTGAAGGCCGGATTTGGGTTTAGGAGAGGTCAGAGGCCATTTTGAGATGGTTTTTTGAATTTCGATCACCGTAAACGATGCCCGACGGTGGTTGTCGGCGACGACATAAGGTGGTCGGCAGGTGACCGGCATCCCTCCGGCGAGAGAATTCTAGAGAGAAACAAAGAGAGGAAATGAGAGATTTTGGCCTAAATGGTCGGTTAATGGGGTATTTATACCCTCCCGAAACTACGTGTTTTTGGGGAGGAACCTCTGCGTAATTTCAAGAATGGGTAAATTACACCTGTGGTCCCTATAATTTGTAAGCTTTGCATTTTGGTCACGAAATCAGGTTTCTATGCATTTTAATTTTGTTTTCGCATTTTATTTTATTATATTTTAGTCATTACCCGTATATTTATATATCTTTAGGGTAAATAGCATATTTAGTTCTTAGATTTTAATAATTTATATTTTAATCCCGAATTATTATTTATGGTTAAATTACACTAATAGTACCTAGATTTCATAATTTTTGAATTAGGGCCATTAATTTAGATATTTTGCAATATAATCCCTCTAATTTTATTATAGTTATTACATGTATTCGGGCCATATTATTTTACACAATAAATCATAAAATATCTCCTTAACTGATTAGGAAGGTATTTTAAATGATTTGTTGCTATAAAATAATACCCTTAATATTTATTTAGGAATCATAAAACTAAATTAATTTTG